AGTCAAAACATATTTTAATAACATAATTTAATTAATGTCACATTTTGTGCTTTTTGTATATTGTTTGACTCGTGATAATAAAGAGTTAATTTGGAATTCCGACGATATTTTAGATTTGTGTTCTTTTTGAAAGTTTGTTTTTGTAGTGCGATAAAGTTAGTGGATTGATAAAGGTGTGATAAAGGAGACATTATGACTGACAAAGGTGTTATATATGAAGCTGTCCACAATAAGAAAAATATTATCCTTAACAGAACTCCACAACACTATAAAAGTATGAAAACCTCTGAAGTATGTTCCATATTTTTAAAAAACAAGATATATATTATTTAAAATCGTTTCAACTGACTTTTATTCAGCGAAATACATATTTATGTTAGGTAACTTAATCACATTAAATACTAATAGGTAATTTACCTTTGATTTTTTTTCGTTAAATAGTTAATATACTAGTAAATATTATCCAATATATAATTAATATCCGAATAACATTATTATTTTCTCAAATTTATATATTTACATTTTTTATTTTATGACATAAAAATGACATATACACAACACAAAGACTGACCATTGGTCAATCAGTATCAAAGACAAAGATAATCAGATAGTCGAATGTCGCTGCTGTGTCTTCAACAAAAATTAAGCGAATTTACTTATCCACGAAGTTTATAACATTATAAGATCTAAGGAAAAACCAGCCTTCCAGCGCTGGTTAGTTTGGTGACAATTATGATAGATATTTTTCAGAAACCGTGTTCCGTAATAATAAAACTCAGGAAACCGATATATAGAACTGGAACATATAAACATAACCATGATACAAAGAAAACAAGGTTTGGTATTGCGCAGGTTGGTCACTACATCACAGGTGATAACGGCACCATTGGTTGGCAATCTCCGCGCGCCAGTTTCAAATTGTCAAATTGATGACACATAATAAATGTGAAAATTTCATTGACTTTTCGAATGTCAAGCTCAATGATTTGACATCACTTTTGAGGTTATATCCTAATTCTTTCCTATTTTAGGTCTTTTCTTATTAGTAGCAATTGAACAATATGGATATATTTTTGTATGGCGTATGACATCACACAAACTGAACGAAATTGGAGCCGCTTACGATCATGTTGTTTTATTTGTATCATGAACCATAACCAAGGTAAACAACGGAATACAACTCTTTAATAATAACCACCTATAAAACAATGAAATCGAAATGATATTATCGTAGGCTTTTGATTCGTAGGATTTCCAACAATATTTTCACATTTTCTTAATTTCTTCTAAAACGGTCTGGAAAAGTATAAACGGGAATAATCATTTTAGAACAATCAATTTTTTTTATGAAGAATGCATTTTTCTCAAACTGTCAATAATAAAACAACAATTTTACGAGAAACATGTTTTTCCAACATCAGACTTTAATCAAATAATCAACATAAGCTTTATTTTCTAAAAGAAATTTGTGCCTGGATAGTTCACTGGAACCGATGAATTTAGATACGAAAATCTATCCCAACAATCAAAGAATCACAATAGATATAAAAATCTCGATACTACAACCTAACTTACAATATAACGTGTAAGAAAGAAAAACTTTTACTATCGAGCAGAACAATTTTAGAATACTTAAATAGTTCGGTATATAAAATGAGAATCAAACTCGAATCGTATGAAGTTTCGCAGACATGGTAGCGGAGAAGCAACACTTGTTGTCTTTTTAAAGTTCCCAGCCACGCGGTGCCGCGGGCGGATTTAAAGCCGTTTGGTAATAAAACAGGGAATAAGGCCATAAAACTAAGTAACGTCAGCCGTATAAAGAAAACGCGCACTACGCCAGCCGACTATAAATTCAACCCCGTCCCGCGGGAGTATTAATTTACCGCCTATTCTGTATTTTCCACTAATGCACTTACATCTTTTATACGACAAGATGCTTCGTATTTTTCTAGAACCGATTAATTGTCGGCTTTAAGAAAGTGCCATTAGTGACGAGCGAGGCTGGTATTGGTTTTGTGATCTTGGTCTTTTTTTCATAACAAGGGGCCGTCCTCTGTCGGAAACACTGCGACCTGTGAGGCCTATTGTGTTTGTCCCCCTTCTATATCTGCCCCCACTCTCCTATCCCTGTGCCCTGCACTAGCTTATGCAGGTCCTTGATAGGATGGGAGCATAGTTCCTCCGGTTCTAGCCTAGCTTTCCCAAATAAGCTTCGCAAGCTTCGTAATGACATATTATGTGCTCCGCTGTTTCAGGATCTTTATCGCAGAGTCTGCCGCAAAGACTTCCTTGGTACAGGTTGAGCTTGTTCAGGTAACACTTGACAGCCATGTGTCCTGTCAAGAGGCCTCTTGTAATCCGCACTTTATTCCTGCTAAGCACTAGCAGTTCTATTGCGGTTTTAGAGCTAGGTCCTTGGATAAAAGCCTTGCTGTGCCTGTGCCCCTGTCTATTTCTCCAATGAACATTGTGTTTTTCCATGATCCAGAGTTTTAGTGCACTACGGGCCATACATTTGAGTATTCCCAGTACTGGCTCTGGACCAAGATAGGATATCGATGATCCCTGCAAAGATGATATGTAAGATGTTATCTGGAAGATAACATCTAGCAACATTTCTAGCAACTTTTATTGCCATTCTTGTCTTCTCATAATATTTATATTTTATGTTCTTGTAGCGGATTAATTGTAAATTGACTGCCCTAATATTCAGTAAGGCTTATCACCATCAAAATGTAAATTATTACAATATTGTAATTAAAACACTTTATATTTAATTGCCTTTTAATTTAATAAATTTAAAAAATAATAAAATATGTATATGTAATACATAATGTATGTTTCCTTCGAATCTTCCTGATATATATAACACTCTTAAAAAATAATATTTTATGCTTATATAATAAACATTATTGATCACATATTAATACATTTAATAACAAAACTTTAAAATAAAATATTTACTTGATTTTATATAAAAAGGCACTGCATTAGAGCCTTATTTTATCTATACAATGTATTTTATTAATACTAGTAGTCTTCTGGAATAACTTAACCATGAACGTATTTATTAACATTCTTGATGCCAATAGAATTTTTCTAATTGCCTTGTTCATCTTCTCTAACTTTTCTTGGTCAGATAGTAGACGTACTTTTCATGATCAGATTGTAGCGTACCTGTTTTATACCATAACTGTGAATACTGTGATTTTCCCGAAATACTATTAATCTTAGTTATCAGGAATTACATTTTTTTTAAATTAATTTTTCTCCCCACCTTCTTCCACATGTAAAAATAGGCCATTAATGATTTAACAAATCAAACATAATATAAACTCACTAGAAATGTTTTGAAATCCACATTCATAGCTTAAGAGAAGTTTTCTGAAAAACAGCATTTACGATTTTCCATCTTTTTCGGCGCGTACAAAAACATTTTATTATAGTTACTTGTAAATGTTATCCAACAATGGAACAATTAATTTTAGCATTATTGGAAATAGTTTAAATGTAAATTTAATTTAAAATCCAAAATAAAACTAATAAGGAAAAAAAAAAAATTTGACATTGAATAAACAGCAATACTACCATCATAAAATTCACCAAGTTTATTTCGAGAGGAAAACCAGCCAATCATATTAGCGAGGGCTACATACGTCATCGCAGCGCGCGTAAGTGTGAAATTCAAACTTTTACCCCATTGTTTGGCATAATATTAAGTTTTATATAAAAAAGGCTAAGTAGCAAGCACTAATTAGGTTGAAATCTGCATTACGTGGAAATTGAAAAACATGAAACATGCCCATTACTTGTCTAAAACGGATAATGTGGAATAAATAGGTGATAATATATGTGGACTCATGTTATGTATGTCGATATCATTAATGTATTTAATTATTGTAGGTTGAGAAGATTCAGAAATCACACTTTTATATGCGCTTTTAAGACTCTTTGAAATTCTGCGAGGCAACACTGATACTATATTGGCGAAATAGATTGGGTATTGCAGATACGTATATATTACACTTACGTTAACTGTGCCTCCAGGAAGTATTTATGTAGAATATTATTGCAATATACAACTTCGGGGAAGCAGATCTCAAATGCTAATGCCTTAAATGCTTCGTGCTATTTTAATATTAGAAAAATCTACTGCAGGCGGATCCCCGGTTTATGGTCGATGATTCTTGGTTTTCGTATACTTTTTACAATATTTGCAGCTGCGCTACATGCTGAGGTATATTTTTTACCGTAAAGCGCGCAGGCATGCATTAATCTTTAACTTGCAGTTATTGTTATTCCTGTGTGCTCTAGTGCTCTCCAACGGAAGACAAAACGGCAATGAAGATTTGAACGATAACATAAGGACCCCTTAATATTACCATTATTAATATGAAAGGTTAAATTTAGACTTTAATTGGATTTCAAATGCTAAAATACAATATGAGAAATAGTGTTAATTTTGTCAGCCCTGTAACTCTTAAAAGGTTAGTTCTATGAAAAAAATACATTCAGCCAATTTTGTAGAGCTGCAATTTTCTATATAGGGTATTTATTAGTAGGTGTCATATTTTCTGAGATATAAGCTAGAAAGAGTCATAAAAGTGACATTTAACCCCTCCCCTCTCCCCGAGCTCATTTCCGTGCTTTTTCAATTTATCAATACAGACAGTTCAAGTCAAGAGAAACTATTTAAAAACCATTTTCAAAATTGTGAGTTTTTCCACCGATTTCTAATTTGACTGGGCTATTACTATTTAAATATTTTTTATGTTGAAAATACCTTAGTAAAAACTGTTAAAAAAAAGCGTATAACTTTGCAATAGGGACCTCTGCAAAACCAAAACCAAGCGAATCTTGCTCCTGATTTTGCATTTGCTCATCACTGGCAAATTCATTAAACTTATTGTGCTAAGTATTGGATGGTTTCGTAAAATGATAGTGCTTGGCAAATAATTTTCAGAATGGAATGGAAATGAAATAAAAAGTGTACTTACCCTCCAGTTGACTCTGACCGTGATGACCCACATACAATCCACCGGAAGACCGTGCTGTTTGTCGAACTGGATGATGTCCGGGTCGATATCCACCCTGCCCAGCTTGCCCTCCTCCATGTAGCTTATTTCCTTTTTGCATTCTCTGATTTCTGGAGTGCCGGCTGGAATCAGACATCGACCATTTTTATTAAACCATATAAAAGTGCTCTTACGGAATCCCGAACCGAGATTCACTTCGCTTTCGATTTTTATTAATTTATATTTTTAATGCAACGTGAAAGGAGCGATCTTTGCTATGCGGTTATTGTAGTTTATTTTTCTAAAGGATTTCGCTACTATGACAAATTTATCTTCCCCCATAATCAGAAATAATCACTATCATATAAAAAATTAAGATAATACACAACCTGGAAAAATATTTTGTCAAATAATATAAGTTTTATTATAAATTTCTTATTCTTCATCTATTTTCAAATAGTTGGTAGTTCGGAATACGAAATTTTATATTACAATAATTGACGCTCTCCGTTTAGGCGGTATTATACAGGGTGCTACAAATTCGAGCTACGAGCGTTGGTATTTCGGTAACCGTAATAGATACAAACATGGTTAAATTGGGGCAAACTTACCGCTTTGGGATGTTCAACAAGATGCCATCAAAAAAGTTTTGAAAATTTACACCGTTAGTATCACCAGTCAACACTCGCGCTCCTGGCCGCTCGCATAATGGGGATCGCGAGTCTGGGCCGTAGTTCGGCAAGTGACCAACGACGATCGGTGGGAGGGCGCCACCATCGACGCACAACGCTCGCTGAAGCCTGTCTGCCGCCGATCATTAGCCCAGGGCCAGTCAACTGAGATATACGACCTTGAACGATTTGTTTTTGGGGTAGTAATTTCCTGGGGCGCTAGATGGCGTATTTTTATTTTAATTTTTCTAGTTGCCTAACAATTGCGTACAAAATTGTTTTTTTTTACGCCTGGGACGGTTTACTTGTGTTCTGTGGTGTCAAATCAGTTTTCCTAGCTTTCCTTCTTCAGTTGTGTTTCTTGCACGAACGGAGATGCGCGTTTCGCTGTTTTCTTGTTGTTTGGCTGTGTTTTTTTGCAATTCATTTACAATCGTGATTTTGTATTTCAGGAATTTTTGGAAGGCTTGTTTGTGTTTGATTGTTTAGTAAGATTTTTATTAAAGGTAAGGTTTAAGTTAAAGGTCTTTGATTTATCTAATACCATTTGATTAACTGGTTATGAGGTAGCCTAACCAAGACCAAATATTCGTGAATTTTATTTTTTAACAATGTAATATTTACAACGCCATATATTTTTACAAATGTTGTTATGTGTTCTTAAATCTGGTACTATAATAAATATTATACTTTTTAATCTGTTGTTTTATTTGTTTGTAAAATGTTTCATGGTATAATTTTCTGTAAATTAAAATAAATTATGTATTGTAGGATTTTATGCACATAAAATGATATAAGCAAACCATTTAACACTTTACAATAGTTTCACCTGGTTTAACCTTTATTTATATAAATCCTTGTTTTTTACCATTTGACTTGTTTGCTAACTTGGGACCAATCAGATGACTACACATTATTTTGTAGAAATCTGATTGGCTCTAACTGGCGAACAAGTCAATACATCTTGCTTAAAAATAAATTGCATCTATTTAAATTTGCCGCCACCTTTGTTACTTTCCTGGGTGGCTAGATGGCGCCAACTTCAATATACAGATTACATATTTCTTTACAAATTTGAAACCGTTTTGAAACTAAAAAATGCATTTGAAGTTAGCGTTCTTCTGTAGTGTGTTCTGTGCATTAGCCGGCCACACACACAGGTACTTTTGAACACTCTTGGCTCCTACATATCGGGCGCGCGGGTCTAACTCGTATGTTAAGGGGGAAAAATACCCACGCTCTAAATACGCACGCCTTGCGCGACGTCCAGGATAACAGGTCTACTCAGGTGGATGACACTTCTTATGGGAGAACTGGATATGGTTGAAAACTTGACTACAAGCGATTTTCTAGGAATCTTCCTTACCGATAAATTATTGACAAGAGTGACAGATAAAATCTTGACGTTCTTTCAGTATTACAGTTCATCTCTTTTTCTTTCTAAAGTGTGCGTTTCTTTCTAAAGTGTCGTAATTTGTTATTCGAATACCACATTTCTCCTTGTCGGGTCGTTCACGTTGACTTGTCGCCATTTTATTTCTTTTGTTTACACGCTGCAGTTTGCTTTGTAAATTTAATACATAAATTATTTAGGCAAATATAGGTTTTTGATAAAACTCCTAGGACTAACGTGTAGGTAAGTGTTGATAAATAAGTTTCTTTTCATCTTAACATGCTCATTGTCATTCTCCTGATTTAGGTGACAGAAAAGGATCATCAAATCAAATTGAATTTTATATTTCTTCATCCCAGGACCGATAATAAAATATATATTTTATGGGTACCTTCCTAAATATCAACGAGATGAGCCATCGGAAGAAAGGGATCATAGTACAAAACAGAAGGGTGATCTTTTTTCTTTCCACTTAGGATATTGAAATTATTATATACTGTAGTCGTGTTCGGCATTATGCTCTGAGAAATATAGATAAACAAAGAACAACAGATATAAAGCATCCCAGAGGAAAAGAGAGGCAATACCTGTACTCTCTCTCTCTCTGATATTTGTGAAAGTTACGGCAAAGTATTGTTGTAAATGTCATCTTTTTAATCAACCTGAAAACTTCGTGTAAAAAGATGACACTTTAAAAAATACCCTGACACATATCAGAGGCGATACAGGTTTTTCCTCTCTTTTCCCCTGGAATACTTTTAATTTATTATTCTTTGTTTATCTAGATTTCTCAGAGCACTATGAACGAACTCAGCTTGTATGTTTGAAATAATCGTCCAGTTGGCTTAAAAATGATGATCGATGACATTTCCTATAAAATTTTACTTTCAAAATTATGATATATATATATCATCATTTCTAAGCCATCTATGAAGCCATTTTTTTCAGTTTTGTTATAATTAATTTTATCTCTTGATCTACTTGTAACATTATTCTTTTAATTTTATTAATTTATTGTGGTTAAATTAATTTCTGTTGTATATTTGATATTGATATTAAACATATTTTTAAAAAATGGTGTATTTTTTTGTGTTTTTATCTATGTCATAATTAAATATAAATGAAGAATTAAATTTTTTTATTTTTTTAAACTTCCCGCCATGCGTGACAATCTAGTTCCTACAAGCGATATTGGGGGCGCTAGTAGCAGTAGACTTGTCAACAGTGTCAAATTTCACTTTCCAATATTTAGCAAGGCGCTAGCACTTCTCCTTGTGTATGTGTTTTGTGAGTCTACTATTGTTAAATTATTTCACGTGTGTGGAGCGTTGTTAGTTGTTCTTTTGCTAAAAAAATTAGCAATTATGGCAGATACAAGATTTTGGAGTAAGGAGATTTTAACCCAGTTTATAGAAATATATAGAAAACATCCAGCGCTCTGGAGGATAAAAAAAGCAAGGATTATACCAATAAAAATTTGAAAAACAAAGGTCACCGTAAATTAATTGAGTTGTGTAAGCAAGTTATAGAAAACCCTGATAAGAATTTTGTTTGTCAAAAAATTCAGTCTATACGAAGCTGCTTCAGAAAAGAATTGAATTGAAAATATTTCCCATTTCCTTCTATTTATATCTCTGTCTATGATTCCAACATACGTTACAGTCATTGTTATAATATTTTTTTCATTTTCCCCACCGTTGAGCCACACCAAAATTATCAAACACGTTAGAAATCCAGGCTTGCACTAATTTTGACAAAGTATGTCAATATTTATCTCCATAAACACACACTCTTGGTATGTACGTCAAAGACCTTCATCAAAGTACTGCCATTTAATAATTTCGTTAATGGCCAACAGCGTTCTTGGCTCGCCACAGACTTGGCTCGCATGCTTTGCATGGGCCATGCTAAAAACCTTCTCCAAGACGCTATGTGTGTGGCCGGCTATTCACTTGTTCGGCGTGCGCCTGGCATAAACAGCTGTTTTGTATTTTGTTCTCGATTTACGTCAAATAAACCCCTTTTACTGTTTAATTTTTGTGCAATCATTGAGTTTAACGCCCTAGAGATTCATCATCTATCAAACGGATTTCTTAGTTTTTGAAAATAAATTTTAATTTTTCCTGTCGTTACTTTGTAGAAAATTAAAAAACTAGTTGCACATTCTCATAGCCAGCTTATTAGGGTTATCTGATAGTATGTTTATGTTTTTATTAGGTGACAATTTGAGAGATTTTTATTTTAAGTTTTGAAACAACTCGGTCTCCTGAGTACAAGGATATGATACTTTTTTTGTTTTGGGTACTTTAACAATAACAAAATTATTTAGTTATTATTTTTGACTGTCATTATTTAAAGTAATTTCAAGATTTTCGTTTTTAAAATTATTTAATATAATTATATTCATTGCAATAATATTGATCAGTGCTAATTGACATTAAATACGGAAAATCGAACCAATTCAAAGAGTCAAATAAATAATATCCAGGTCAGCAATTTAAAGATATTATTTTTTTATTGTGAAGTGTTACTAGATACCCTCCCTAATGCACAAATTTATTTTTTCTTCAATCTTATTTATAGCTCTTTGAATAACATATGTAGAAGTGGACCGATTAACATTTGCGGTGTAACTGATCCAAGAAGGCAACAGAGAAAGAGGGATATATCATCTATTATAGATTCGGGACAACACTGTTATCAGGTTTAAAGAGAGACTAGGTTAAAGAGGTGGAGAAAATGGAGACAGATCCTCCAGCCACATGGGTAACTCATCCGGAGATAAGCTCCTCAAATGTGAAGGGTACAGAGGGCTAAACCCCAACCGTGGAAGGGTATATATTCTCGTAGTAGGTAGATGCTCACTCCTCGGAAGATGGACATCTGTTGTCAGAGGAGGATGGGAGAGAAAAAGGGAAGATGGGAAATACCTTGTCCCCCCTACAACAGGGAGATCCTCATGTATGATGAGTTACGAATACTGAGTGACATGGTATGATTAGAGTTGTAACCTCAAGAAAGACAAGATTTCAAGATTAACCTCAGCCCCCTCATTCCACATTCTACATCTCCTCCCAGA